CATCTACCATCTTCACCAAATGTTTTTTGTTTCACATATGTTAGGGCAGAAGTCTTCCATAAGTTTATATCTTCTGCCCCATGTCAATAAATCATGAAAACCACATCCAAATTACTCACTTGAATTTAAGCTCACATTTATTTACCACTCATTTAATTTTAAACACAGTAAGTCAAATTAGTGCTCCTCAAATTCACAAAAGTGTTTGGTCTTTCATTGGGACACTGGCATTGTAAAACCTGTACTCCAAAGAATGCTAACTCTGATTTCTCCCCATGCATTCACTGGAATATTACTAAACATGTAATATTGGTTCCATATAACCACTCCTTACTTGATAGAAATTTTAACTTTATTTTGTGCTGTTCCTATGACCTTTTTCTGTGATTTCATTGTGCAATAGGAACACCAAGTACAGAAGAAAGTATTTTTTAGCACATATACGCATTTTCCTGCACTTGTATCATCCTCATGTTCCAATTTTTTAACAGGAACAACATATGGCATGTGAGAGCAATTCAAAGATAAGGAAAGATGTCAAGTAGTTGCTGACATTAGGGGCTAACTGTGTGATCTCTAAAAAAAATCCCTTATGTTATATTAGGCTTATTTGTTTCTAATAAGCAAAGCCTAGTAGAAGGCTCCATCAGCAAACTGGCTACTTGGAAATATGACTACCCAGGTTCTAATTCCAGAATACATATATGAAAAATCAGGCATACAGGCATCACCATCCAATCACAGGACACAAGGCATATGTAGTGTGTGAGTAATCTCATGAGTTTTACTGGCCAGCTTGGTTAACACATTTGGCAAATTCTGGACTGTGTGAAACACTATGTCAATCTGACATTGCTAATACACCTGTGCATGCAACTAATATTTGATGGATCTATTAGAACCCTTGTATCAACTGAATTTGTATACATTATTGTTTCACTATTAAGCAAACCAATGTTCTACTACATAGTGAGGAAGGATCATTAAACAAATCTTGTCAGAGTAGCCTATAATATTTAGTGAGCTGATGAAGAGCGAAAGTCAGAATTTCACATGTTTGCTAGCCCTCAGTGTCTGTTCATATTCTAATTGATGGCCATACAGAAAAGACAACAAAGGGGCTTTCCCTAACCTCAGATGTCATGCAAAAGAGAGTAACTGTGTGAACTAAATACAGAGTAGTGATGATGATTAAACAGTTCTACTAGGGAAAATGCAGTGGATTTTTGATTTTTTTTCAAAATACCTAAATTTGTATGTGACTATTGAGCAAAGTATTTTGTAAGTGTTTATGGAACTTTGAATCCAAAATAAATGCCATATGCAAGCAAACATATGTGGAGACACACATAAATGCATAAATACAAAGCAGAAACTGTAAAAAGTATACAAGTGTTATGAATAATACACTATAATACAAAAAACTCAAAATATTACAAAGTCATTAGAACACAGTAAGATACCATATCCAAACTGCCAATGTTCAGGCCATAGCTAAATGTACAATTACTATTTACAAGAGTAGCATCTTATTTCAGTCATTCTTGTATATATATATTGGAGTGGTGTAATTCAAGAATCTATCATTGCAGTAGATGAAATGACATGACATATCAGAAACTGTCACCAGAAAGCTGCAATTCACAGAACAGAATCACCATCAGCCAGCAGCAGGCAGAAAGGGAGGGTTTCCTGTATGTAGCCAAAAATTTGGCCCAAGCAACGCATACATGATTACTTCCTAAATGGCATGGACTGTTTTTTGTTTTGTTTTGATTTGTTTTTGTCTTTGTTTGTGTTTCTAAATGGATAAATAGCCCAGAGTAAATTGCATACTTTTCTCTCATGCTCTCACAGACTTTCAATTTTGATGCTTCAGTGGCAGCACACATACAATTAGGTGGGAGGGAAAAATGAATCAGCATTTCTGATGGAGATCTCCAAGGTTACCACAGGATTTGCCTCCTTTCCTGGAACTGAGATGATTGTCCTTATTGGTTCTTATTCCGGGCTAAATTTGAATGTACACAGTCCTTCAGTCAGAGGCAAGGCGTGCTAATAAAAGTGTCCCTGGGGCAGCTTCTTACCTATCAGACTCTGGCTATACTTCAGGACACAGTTGATTCTGGGTATAACTAAAGAATGACTCTATATTGGGCCAGAAAAGTCAGACTACTCCTAATATCTACAGGAGACAGAGCCCATTCATTTAGCAAACTCAGGATTTTTGAATTTTCGGGACCACAGCTCTGAGTCCACTGCTCCTGTCACCTGTGAAGCAAGTGGGATCCTGCTTCTCTTTAAAGATGTGACATCCCAGTCTCAGTCTAAAATGCTGCACTATAAGCAAGGGAGATAATCCAATTCAGGCTTTACAAACTGGCACAGAAAAAGAGAGTCCTGTTTTTTTTTTCCTATCCCAGCAAGATCCATTCTGGGAATAGCTATGGTATTGTCACTTTTATACAGTTACTGAGAGTCACTGAAAGAATCAAGCTGTAACTGTTTCTGACACTAGACTTTCTCTCACTAGAGCCTCTGGGTGGACAATAAAGAATTTAATTGAAATGAAATTTACTTGTCAAAATACTTTTGCCATTTAGGGTCTCAGAGGTACAACTTTCAAATGTTGGTGAGCATTGTCAGTTCCTTTTGACACAGAAAATTTGGCCCTTTTTTTTTCCTGTTGAGCTCATTCCTCTCTATGATATCTGATAAGGCATGAACTTTGTTGAAAATCAATTATTTATTTCTAATGACAGTGAGGTATTACATGATTCCCTTGAGAGTAAGTAAGAGACCAGATTTCTTCTTGTTTCTGGTATTTTCATAGGTTTTATACCTGTGAACGGCCCATCTTGTGTCTGATAACTCACATTCTGAGTTTCTATGACGGATAGGAAAGATGAGACTAGAAAACTTTGTCATTATGGAATGTTCCCACAGCTCCAAATAGTTTAGAATCTTTCTGGTCTTTTTCAACACAGATACATGAGGCTTTAGATTAGCCATATGAAAAAGGCATTAAACATCAGAACATTATAATCCAAATCTCTAAGTGTCTATAGAAAGAGAACCCTACATATCATTGTTTTAATTCCCAATTAATATGAAAAGAAACATCTCATATGAGTGTCTAGAGATAACAGATCTATCAGTTTATCACTATGTCTTCAGGACTTACTTTATTTCATTTTGACTCCAGTAGAATTAGATAAATTGTTTTTATACTTCTCTGACAATTCTAGTCTCAGGTACTTTGTCCTTTATTGAATGTTGGGCATTTATTCACCTCATGGAATAAATTGCAATCCTTGTATGTTATTGATTAATCCTACTTTAAAGGCCTCCTTGGCAAAAGTAGAAAAAAATAGAGGAATACTCTACAAGAGCTGTTTTTGGCATGTATCTTATGAGTATGATACATTTTGTTCTTGAGGGAGTTATATGCAGAGTAGTTTCCATTCACCTCAGAAGTAGTCATACACAGTGAAGCTTCAAAGAGGTACCATGTGGTTATCTGTTCTGTCATAACAGAAGTATGTAGGATCTTCAGTAATAGCTTATATCCATCATTTTAGGAGGTGTAATCCTGGTTTGGAAATGGTTTATGAATCTATGGGAGCTAACCCGGACAGAAAGTTAACCAAATAACTCCTTATTGACACCTGAGAGAAAACTCTGATTCCCCTTCATGGTGAAAAATGTGCATATTTCACAATATCTCCCCAATATGTTTTGAATCATATAATTACTTTCATATATGTACAAAAGTTTTTCTACATGTATGCAGATTTCCTTGCTTCTGACACATATTTAGAGGTATATATGTATGTATAAAAATACATATGCATACATGTGTATGCATCTTTGATGTAGATGAGCATTTCTCACATGTCTACTGTATTTATATAGTTCCACTCTTCTTTATTTTTCCTCCTGCAGCACCATGTCCTCTCCAGGATATTCCAAAAGAAATACTACTTCTTAGAGAATTAATTTTTTCACACATACACAAATATAGTCAGAATTGAATGATGCATGGTAGAGAATGTGGTGATAATTAATGAATATTTTTATTTTTTGACCTTTGGAATTGATGGGCCTCACAATGTCATTGTTAAATAACCTGTGTCTATCTATCTTAGCATCCATCTTTTCTCCTTAGATTTTCTGCTTAGTGTGTCAAGCCTAGAGAATTTCCACTACACACTGGCATGCAGATAAGTTTTCATGCTGCTACCCTTGTGTGGTTGTTTCTTTACTTTGGATTATATTTTTGGTTGGTGTTCATATTCTCTAAACATTGGGCTTTGAAATTTGGCATCCTTCTTAGAAGACAATTTTTCCACAGGAGGAATCCTGTTCCTTAGGATGTTGAATTGTATCTTAAACATCGAGTACCATAGTTTCTTTGCCCAGAGAGTATGTTGAGTTGTGTGGATTTATCTGGTGGCTATACACATGACATTGTAAGTACATAGCAGTTTATGCAGGTTTGGAATATTGTACTAATGCTGTAAAATGATGTCTTTTTGGAGAGTTAAAACTACAGTTGCCTATGGGTATAAGGATACATAGAAAACTCTTCGAAATGACATGCCTTCAGAGAAGTTGCCAAATTCTTAGCCTTTATGTATCAGACCAGATTACTAATTGGGAATTATTTTTCCTCATTTAAATGATATATGTTATTTAATAAAAACATTAAATATTCATTCATGTCTGAGGGGAACAAGGATATAATGCCCTAAGATATTCTAAGACCTGATAAGCTTTATATTTGAATGTGGTGGTACAATTAAGTCTGATTTGATGTTTTCTGTTGGGTTTGATGTAATTTTGATATGAACAGAACATCATCATGATGATGAGTAAATTAATAACTATATTAATGGTTCAGGGGACTGTTTCTGAGAACATAACAATGTAAAAATTACTTTAAAAAAAAAAAACAAAAAAAACCCAAAAAACAAACAAAAAAAAAAACAACCCAGATTTACATCTGACAAGAGGCAAGATGGCGACAGGTGGCAGAGCCGCGGAGGATCTGCAGCGGGGCCTTCTGCAGATGCCGCTCCCCGCGCAGCCTATGGCCCAGGCTGAGGAAGCCCAGGGCACAGGAGAGAAGATGGGCTGGGCGCAGGTAGTAAAGAACCTGGCAGAGAAGAAGCACGACTTTCGCGAGCAGTGGCGGGGAGAAGAAAGGGGCAGAGGTGCAGGCGGCAGGCTGGGCAGCCCCGCGGGCCTGGCCGCTCCGAACCCCGGCAACTTCCCACCTGCCGGCCGCGGGGACCCAAGGGGCTGCGGGAGAGACCCTGCGGGCTACGCGGCAGAAGTTTGCAGGATGAAGGGAGCTGGAGACGCGAATCAGAGGAAGATGGCCGAGGTGGCGGTGGTGGCGGCGGTCATGGCGTCCCCTGCCAGGCCTGGTGCGACCAAAGACGCCACTGCGGAGAGACTGCTGCAGGATGAGCCTCCAGCTGCCTGTCCTGGTAAGGGCCGCTTCCTTGTGCGCATCTGTTTCCAGGGAGAAGAGAGTGCCTGTCCGACCCGGGATTTCGTGGTGGGCGCTCTCATCATGCGCTCCATCGGCATGGACCCCGGGGACATCTATGCTGTCATCCAGATCCCTGGCAGCCGCGAGTTCCACGTGAGCTTCAGATCTGAAGACAAGCTTGCCCTGTTTCTCCGCATCTATGAGGAAAAGCGGGAGCTGGACGACTGCTGGGAGAACTTTGTGGTGTTGGGGCAGAGCAAGTCCGGCTTGAAGACCCTCTTCATCCTGTTCCGGAATGAGACTGTGGATGTGGGGGATATCGTGACCTGGCTCAAGCGCCACTGTGATGTGCTGGCCTTGCCAATGAAAGTGACTGACAGGTTTGGGATCTGGACTGGGGAGTACAAGTGCGAGATCGAGCTGCGCCAGGGGGAGGGCGGACTGAGGCACCTGCCTGGCTCCTTCTTCTTGGGAACAGAGAGGGGCTACAGTTGGTACAAGGGGCAGCCCAAGACCTGCTTCAAATGTGGTTCCCGAACCCACATGAGCAGCACCTGCACGCAGGACAGGTGTTACAGGTGTGGGGAGGAGGGGCACAAGAGCCCTTACTGCAGGAAGGTCATCATGTGCAACCTCTGTGGCAAGGGAGGACACATGTTTGCCCAGTGTCCCAAAGCAGCTCACAATTCCATGCGCTTCTGCCTGCCAGGTTGAACACACAGCCAGCTTACCCTTAAGTGCCAAACCATTTTTTTTTTTCTTTAAGACCATTTTTCTGTTTTTTGGAAGGAGATATTTCTAAAACATAACAGAGACATTCTCTCTATGCCTTTTTAAAACCGCGAGTGCTCCCTTTCAGCCTGTTTAAAAAGGACTATTCAGAACTGTAGTGTGGAGATATGTTGCCTGCCCCCCGCCCCACAAACACACCTTTTTTTCTTCCGTTTTACATTAGTTTTGGTACTTTCGTCAACACCCTGTCTGCCTCTGTAATATTTACTAACTCCCTCCTCATCTACGTCTCAATACAATATTTTTGCCCTTCTGGCTGCCTTGCTCACTTTGATGCCTCAGCCCTGGGTACAGGGCTCAATGCAGGATAGGCATTCAACAAAGTGTTTATTGAATCGAAAATGTCGTCGACTAGCTCTGTCTAGAGTGCCTACCTTGTGCAGCTCTACGCTGGGATCTTTTCATTTGCTGCTTCTATGTGATATGAAAATTTGTGAAAGCCGTGTTGCTGGAAGTGTGTAATCCGAATAAGCTCTGAAAGGTGGCCAAGGGCCTCTCATAGCATTTAAACCTATCTCCTTTGTGACAGTTCCTTGTGGCTCAGAAGCCATATTTCTGTAGGAGTGTGGAGCCTATGAAGTTCTTCTGGGAAACACCCAAGAGGTCGTTTTTGTTGGATTTTATTTGGGGGAGCTTGCTTTTGTTTTGTGTATTGATTTGAGACAGGGTCTCACTGTGTAGCCCTGACTGGTTTGGTACTGGCAGCATTCCTGGACCAGGCTGGTTTCAAACTTACAGTGATCCTCTCAATTCTGCTTCCCTGAAGGATGTTTTAAATTAACCCCTTGGTTTTCCAGCAGATGAAATGAAGTGCCAAAGTTAAGTGCCTGGGCTAAAGTACACAGAAGTGTGGTACCTCAGACTGTCCACAGTAGAGTCCACTGCACACATGCCTGGTGCTCATCCCACTACCTCTCATACTTCACAACAGTCTCCTTGACAATGGTGGGCCAAGGAAGTCTCTCTCCAGGGGTATGGTCCCTGTATGAAGCTGAGACAAAGTCCCCTGAAAGAGCAGAAAGAGAAGCTTTTCTTCCTACTTCATAGTAAGGGACCTAGGGAAAGGACCAGTGAACACACTGCAGGCTGCATGCATGCATCAGTCCTTGGAGTGAGTACCACGTCTTAAATGTTCCACTGTCAATGTCAGCAGTGAGAAATGGTTCCCCTCAGAAAAGAACCTTGCCAGATTTTACATTTACACCTCTGCCTCATCTACTAGGAGCACCAGGGAAGCTAGAGACAGAGAGCTCATCTGAAACCTTGGACCTCTGATGCTCAGGAGAAAGGTGGTTTTAACCCAGAAGCATGAGTGAGCTGTAAACTGGAAAATGTTCTTGGGGAAACAGGCCAAGAGAGAGGCCTGGGTCAACTAACTGTTATCAAGTAAAATGAAAGACAGTAAGCTGCTTTTTTTCAGTTTTTGTCTTCTCTTACAGTTTTGCTGTTTTCTTGTGGCATAAAATGTAAAACAGATGTTCAGATTTGTTCTCAATAAATATTTATCTTTTTTGCCCGTGAAAAATGTTGAGTTGTGTGGATTTATCAGGTGGTAAATACATAGCAGTATCTGCAGGTATGGAATTTTGTAAAAGTGCTGTAAAATTATGTCATTTTTGGAGACTTAACAACTGAAGTTGCCTGTGGATATAAGGATAGATATAGAGAAAACTGTTTGAAATGACATGCTTTCAGAGATGTTTTCAAAGGAGAACTGCCTCTGGGTTCACTATTTCTGAGCCTAATATATCAGGATAGGTTAACACATAGGGAATTATTTTTCCTCATTTAAATGATATATGTTTCATTATTCAAAATAAGTTGAAATATTCAGTCATGCCTGTGTGAAGCAAGGATATAAGACCCTAGGATCCGGTAAGTCCTGACAAGTTTTTACGTGAATGTGGTAGTACAATCATCAATCTGCCATGATTAATTTTTCCTTGTGTTAGTTGTGATTTCTATATGAACAGCGCATCATGATGATGAGTAAAATAATAGCTATATTAATGGTTCAGGGGACTGACTGTAAGAACAAAACAGAGTAAAATTAGTTTAAAAAAAAACAGATTTTTTGGGGGGGCTGGGAATTTAGCTCAGTGGTAGAGCACTTGCCTAGCAAGCCCAAGGCCCTGAGTTCGGTCCTCAGCTCTAAAAAAAAAAAAAAAAAAAAAAACTGATTTTGAAGAAGAATGATGATAGATTGTAATTTAATGGAATTTTTGAAGCTTTATTTAGAAAAGACTCCTCAGAATTGATGAAAAGGATTTTGAACATTTTCAAAGTATCTACATTTGTATATGAATATTGAATAAAGTATTTTGTGAGAATTCATGGAACTATGAATCCAAATGAATGCTACATGCATGAGAAATATGGGAAACAAAACATAAATGCACATATACAAAAGAGAATTTTTTAAAAAGTATATAAGAATTATGAATATTATGCTGTAATACAAAAACCTCAAAATATTACACAATCATTAGGAAATAGTAAGTTAACATATCCACATATCCAAACTGCCTATGTTCAGAGTATGACTAATGTACCATTACTATTTACAAAGTAGCATCTTATTTCAGTCATTATTGTGCATATATACATATAATATATATTATATAATTTTATATATATATATATATATATATATATATATATGTATGTCAGAAAAATATTTACTGGAGTGGTAAAAATTAAGAACCTATCATTGCAGTAGAGGAAATGACATGACATATCGGAAACTGTCAGCAGCAAGCTGCAATCCTCAGCACAGAATCACAATCAGCCAACAGCAAGCAGAAAGGGAGGGTTGCATGTATGTAGACAGGAATTTGGCTCAAGCAACTGATACATGATTACCTACCATTTGGCATGGTCTGTTTTTTTTTTTTTTTGTCTTTTTTTTTTGAAAATTGGAGTCACAGCCCAGAGTAAATTGCCCTTTTATTTCTTGTACACATTCAATTTTACTGCTTCTGTGGCAGCACATGTACATTTAGGTGGAAGGGAGAAATGAAACAGCATCTCTGATGGAGATCTCCAGGATTACCATAGGATTTGCCTGCTTTGGTGAAACTAAAGTCTTTGTCCTTATTGGTTCTTATTCTGGGCTCAATTTGAGTGCACACAGTCCTTCAATCAGAGGCAAGGAGTGTAAATAAAAGTGTCCAAGGTGGGGCTTCTTAACAGTCAGGGTCTGGCAATACTCCAGGACATAGTTGGTCCTGGGTGTAATCAAAGCCCGACTCTATATTGGCCCAGAAAAGGCTGACTGCTCCTGATATCTACAGGAGACAGAGCCCATGCAGTTTAGCAGAGTCAGGATTGTTTGATTTCTAGGAGCACAGCTCTGAGTCCCCTGCTCCTGTAACCTGTGCAGCAAGTGGGATCCTGCTTCTGAAGCTACAGCTTCTCTTTAAAGATGTGACGTCCCAGTCTCAGTCTAAATGTGTTGCATTATAAACAAGGAAGATAATCCAATTCAGGCTTTACTACCTGGGACAGAAAAAGAGAGTCCTGCTCTTTCCTATCCTAGGGAGATGCACTGTGAGAATAGCTATGCTATTGTCACTTTTATCCAGTTACCTAGAGTCGCTGAAATTATCAAGCAATAACTGTTCCAGACACTAGCCTTTCTGTAACTAGAGTCCTGGATGGACAAAAAGAATTTTACTTGAAATGAAATTTACTTCTTTTATTCCTTTTGCCATTTAGGGTCTCAGAGGTACAACTTTCTAATGTTAGTGGGTATTGTCAATTCCTTGTGACACATAGAAAACCTTGGACCTTTTTCTTTTTTTCCTGGTCAGCTCATTCCTCTCTATAAAATCAGATGAGGCATGAACTTTGTTGGAAATCAGTTATTTATTTGTAGTGACAGTAAGATATTACACAGTTCTCTTGAGAGTAATTAAGAGCTCTGATTTGTTTCTTCTTGTTTCTGGTGTTTTCATATGTTTAGAACTTTTGACCGCTAATCTTGTGTCTGATAACTCACATTCTGAATTTCTATGAGGGATAGGAAATTTGAGACTGGAAAAATTTGTCATTATTTGAATGATCCGACAGCTCCGAATCTTTCTGGAGTATTTTCAACACAGATACCTGAGGCTTAAGTTCAGCATCATGAAAAAGCCATTACACATCAAAACATAGTTACCCAATGCCTCTAAGTTTCTATAGAAAGAGACTCCTGCATGTCATTGTGTTAATTCCCTATTAATATGAAAAGAAATATCTGAGACGAGGGTCAAGTGATAACCAGACCTATCAGCTCATCATTATGTCTTCAGGACTAACTTCATTTCAACTTGACTTCAGTGGAATAAGGCAAATAATGGTTATAGTTCTCTGACAAATCTAGTCTCAAGTTCTTGCACCTTTTATGAGAGTAGGGCATTTATTCACCTTATGACATTAATTATAATCCTTGCAAGTAATTGATTATTTCTATTAAATATAGGCCACTATGGCAAAAGTAGAAAACATTAGAGGTCAATTCAACATGTGCTGTTTGATGTCATGTTGTTCATGAGCATGAGACATTTTGTTCTTGCTGGAGTTATATGCAGAGTAGTTCTTCCATTCCTATCCCATGTAGTCATACTCAGTGAAGCTTCTAATGAGATACCATGTGAATATCCATTCTATGATGACTTTAGTATGTAGGATCTTCAGTAATAGCTTATCACCATCATATTAGGAGTACTGGCCCTGGTTTGGAAATAGTTTGTGAATCACCAGTGAGGGACTATGGGAGCACCCTTGGCCAAGATGTTAACCAAGTAACTCCTTACAGACATCTGAGAAAAAACTCTGATTCCCCTTCATGGTCTAAGATGTGCATTTTTCAAAATATCTCCATGATAAAAGTTGAGCCATATCAATTACTTTCATATATGTATAAATGTTTTTGTATGTGTATGCAGATGTTTCTCCTTCTGACACACATTTAGATGCGTAAATGTATATGTATGTATAAAAATACTTATGTACAAAGGTGTTTGAACATTTATGTAGCTGAGCATTTCTCACATTTATACTGTATTTATATATTGCCACTCTTCTTTCTTTTTCCTCCTGACTTACCATGTCTGCTGCTGGAAATTCCAAAAGAAATACTACTTCTCTAGAATTTATTTATTTATTTATTTATTTATTTATTTATTTATTTATTTATTTATTTTGGTTTTTCGAGACAGGGTTTCTCTGTGTACCTTTGCGCCTTTCCTGGGACATACATACACAAATATAGTCAGAAATAAATGATGCATTGCACAGTATGTGGGGAGGATAAATGAATATTTTTACTTTTGTTCTTTTGGAATTGAAAGGCCTCACAATTTCATTTTGACAAACCTGCTTCTATCTTTCTTAACATCCATCCTTTTTCCATAACTTTTCTGGTAAGTGTGGCGAGTCCAGAGAATTTAGAATATGCTCTGGCATGACGATATGTGTTGTCCTGCTGCTACCCTTGTTTGGTTTTCTTTACTTTGGATTATATCTTTGGTTAGTGTTCATATTTTCTAAACATTGGTCTTTGAAATTCGATATCCTTCTTAGAAGACACTAAGAGGAATCCTATTCCTTAGGATCGTGACTTGTATCATAGCATTGAGTACAATAATTTCTGAGTCAAGGAAAAATGTTGATTTTTGTGGATTTATCAGTTAGCCATAGATATGACATTGCAAGTATGTAACAGTTTCTGCAGGTGTGGAATTTTGTAATAGTGCTGTAACACGATGTTGATTTTGGAAAGTTACAACTAAAGTTGATTGTGGCTATAAGGATAGATATATAGAAAACAGTTAAAAAAGACATGCCATCAGAGATGATGCCAAAGAAGGACTTCCTCTGAGTCCACTATTTCTTAGCCTTATATATCAGTCTAGGTTAATATATTGGAAATTATTTTTCCTCATTTAAATGATACACGTTTCTATTAATCAAAAAAAGATTGAAATATTCAGTCATGTCTGTGAGAAACAGGGATATAATACCTTAGGGGATGATAAGTCCTGGTAAGTTTTTTCTTTTTTTTTTTTTGTTTGTTTCGAGACAGGGTTTCTCAGTGTAGCTTTGCGCCTTTCCTGGAACTTGCTTCGGAGAACAGGGTGGTCTCAGACTCACAGAGATCCACCTGCCTATGCCTCCTGAGTGCTGGGATTAAAGACATGCGTCACCACCTCCCGGCCTGATAAGTTTTTTCATTTGAAGGTGGTGGTACAATCATCAATTCTGCCTTGATGTTTTCATTTTTGTTAGCTGTGATTTTGATTTGAACAACACATGATGATGACAAGTAAAATAATAGCTATATAATGGCTCAGGGGACAGTTTCTAAGAACATAACAATGTAAAAATTAGTTATTAAAACATGATTATCTAGAGGAACAATGACAGAATGTCATTTAATGGACTTTTGCGGTTTTATTTACAGGAGACTCCTCAGCATTGTTCACATTCACTATGTGTTGTGCAAAAAAAAAAAAAAGCAGAGATACTTGATATATTCTT